ATGATGTATATATACATATGTATATATATATATGTGTATATATGTATATATGGTATATTATATATATTGTATATATACATATATATACATGAATATGTATGTACTATGTAAATGTATATATAAGGACCATCAACATCATCGTACCATGAATACACATACGTATATACACCTTTCAGGGCATCGCTTACTTCTACACCACTCTCTTCTAAACTCGGCATCTACTTGTAAAGTTCAGGCTACGTTGACAGCTTCTCGTTGGAAAAGTCTAATGACACGTCGCTGGTGACTGTTTTGACTGTTCGGAGCTCTCTTCGGTATCACGATGCTACACGATGCCGTAGTAGTCCACCTGTGGTGTGGTGTGCCCCTGTGGCCATCATCATCATCATCGCCACCATCATCATCGCCATCATCATCGTCATTTCCCGCCCAGCCATCATCATCGTCGCGGCTCGGCGCATCTAGAAGATCGCTATTAAAACATCTCATACACACACACATGCACACACAACCCATGACCTCCTACTCCCCCTCCCTCCCTCCCCCCCGCCCCCCTCAGGGCGACTCGTTCATCTGCGCGTTTCACACCGCCTCAGAAGCCGTACAGTGCGCCCTCCACATCCAGCAGGTATGTGTTTGGCGTGTGTGCGTGTCTGTGTGTCTCTGTGTGGCAGAGGCCGGCCTGCTTGTGTTCTTGCTCCTGCTCTGTGACTCGGGCCTACCTCCCCCTCCCCTTCCCCTCCCCTTACCCTCGCCTTCCCCTCGCCTTCCCTTCGTCCCTTTTCCGCCCCCCTTCTTCACCTTCTGCCCCAATCAATAACTGTGCACCACCCCATTGGTTGGTTTGCCGTCTGCAGATCCCCCCTTCTCCCCCCGTCCTCTGAACCCGCCCCGTAATCACCATTCGAGTCCATTCGGCCACGTGGCCATGGGGAGACTCACGCACATGCACAAACAAACAAACACACAAAACGCACACAACTCGGCATTTCCCTCATCGCGGTTCCGAAGATCATTTAAACACAACCACACACATGCACACACACATTCACAGAAATGCACACAGAAATGCACACAGACCACATGTCTCGGCTATTTATGATCACCTGCCACCTATTATAGCTTCGCAGCCGTAGTGATGTTGGCTTACCTTGGGTGGTGAAATCAAAGCAATGTGCGCGCGTTGCATGTGCTGCAGGAGCTGTTGACGGCTCCCTGGCCGCAGGAGCTGCTGGCCGGCCAAGACTGTCGTGCAGGTGCCGAGATTGGCCTAACGCCGAGTGCCGTACACGGCGAGTTGATGGACATGCTCGCGCCGCGATCCGTGCAGCAGCAGCCGGCGCGATCAACTGACCCGCGGGTCAGGGACGGCAGCCGAGACCTGGGGCGCCGTTGCCTGAACCTTCGAGATTGGTTGGGGGGAACGTACCGCCGTGGCTGCGGCGGCGGCGGCGGCGCCGCCATCGCGGCTGCTGCTGCTGCTGCTGCGGCTGCGGACAAGGCGGGTGGAAGGTGCAGTAGCGATGGCTCGATTCGGCTGCCGGGTGGCGGCATCCGCCGCACTGCCGGGTATTTCGCAACCCTCAGCGAAAACACCGAGTCGACGGTGACGGCGGCTGTTACTAACGGCGCTGCGGCGGCGCCGCCGGCGGCCGCGGCGGCGGCGGTGGCGGCAGCGGCGGGTTCCCCGGAGGAAGCCACTGACGTCAATAGCGGCGTGTGTTCTGATGTCGTACTGGAGGAGGACCTTGCGAAGGCGTCATCAAGGCTCGGTGGCGGCGGGGCCGGCGCCTGTGGTAGGCTGCCCTCCGAAACCTACACCGATGTCCTCCGGCCTTCCGCCGCTGTCGTACCTCAAAGCAGCAGCGACCTCGGCTCCTCGCCGTTATCGCCGTCACCATGGCTGCAGAAGTTCATGCGCCAGCAAACGGGAGGTGTTGCCGCTACCGGCGGCAACGGGGAAAACGTGGCGAGTCGTACGGCATACAAAATTCGTACAGTGCATGATTACATTATTGCGGCGTGGCGTCTGGCGGCGGAGGCGGTGCCGGTCGTTGATGTTCACCTTGCGGGCGTCGGCAGTGGCGGGTTCGACCGTTCCTCAGAGAACGGCGTAGCAGCGTCCGCCTCCGTGGGTTCCGCGGCGTGCATTGGAGGCAGCGTTGCCGCTGGTACGGCAAGTACGGCAACGGCGGCAGGCGTGAGCTCTGCTCTGGTGGCGTCGCACGTGTTGGCGGGAGCGACGGGTCGTAGGGTCCCTTGGCGCCGTGCAAAGACATTATCCCGCGGCGGGATGCCTCTGTGCGTGTTTCGGGGCTTGAGAGTACGGATCGGCATGGCATCCGGAGTTCCGGAGCCGTCGGACGTGTCGTACAACACGGCGGAGGTACGACCCGTGGGTCATTGTCTAGAGGCCCCTGATGCAAAATGGCGATAAAGTTGGGGTTTGTGCGGAATTGAGTTTGCGTTGTTTGCGTTGCGGATGGCAGTTATGTGCAGGGGGGGCCCCGCTCATGCACCTTCTGTATTATCATTATCATTATATTAATAATAAAGAGTTTGTGTATTGCATTTACCGTCATTATCATTATCTTTTTATGATTAATATTATTACTACTATAATAATAATAAGAATTATTATTATTATTACCACCAACTATTATTATCATCACAAAATGTTGTTGCACTTTGTATCACAAATCCCCTATCCCCCTATCCCCGGCGCATGTGCTCTTGGGACTTAGGGTTCGCTCAACTCGGCTCAGGAGGACAGCTCGTTGTACTAGAGGGGGGCATCGGTCCCCTTTTCCCGCTACTGCTGCTGCAGAGACAGGATTTGTTTTTTTTTGGGTGTACCATGGGGTGTATTGTACGGCGCTATATCATCCGACATTTCTTCCGGTAGAAAAAGGGTGGAGATATCGCTTTAACAGAGCGGGGGCAGGCAAGACGTGCTGGGGCTGGGGCTGGGGTTACCCGCGCCTTCCCCCCGCCCCGGCCTCCCCCCGCCCCGGCCNCCCCCCGCCCCGGCCNCCCCCCGCA